TCCTTCACATCTTTGTGTTTTTTAAGCCGTCGGTGCCACGCGGGTTTCCTCCATCTACCTGCTGTGCTGCAGTAACTACCATGTAAGTGCTGGAGTGCTAAATGGCCCTGTGCTGAGTGTTTTCTGAAGAAATTCTCTTTCTGTTTGTCTCTTCCTCGTACGTTATTTTCTCAGTCGCTGTCAGTCTTTTTTCGGCTCTTTCAGCGTCCCTCACTCTTCGATTCATTCGCTCGTACTCACACGTACGCGCACACGCTCAGTCACTGGCTCATCTGTCTCTTCTCAAGCAGCACGGTTCAGATAGAGGTAATGGCTCTGGGTAATTGTTCAAATTGTCACTTGGCCTTTTGGTGAGAGCGATGAGGGGAAGAAAGTACTCTTCTTGGAGTAATTCTCTGTCTTTCTCCTGTCTCTGTCTTTGCTCCTTCTCTTGGTCCCCTCTCTTATTTAATTTTGACCTGGAAAGATTTACTGGTGCAGCTCTTTCTTTCTAAATGCCAGACTCAAACGAGTACAGTACACCAAAAAAACCCCACTCTTTTCTTACTGTCTGTCATGCTTATAGCACACGGAAACACACACACAGACACACACAGGCAGGGATACGTGTTGGTAAAAATGTGTTGCTCGGGCTGGGGGTGCTTATTATTGTCTAGAATACCACAGGGACACTGCAGCACTTATTTTTAATGCTACACCTGTGTGTGTGCATGTCTGCATGTCTCATCATGTCTTTTGTGCCACCTTTCATGCATGTTTGTCATTGAATTTTTTTTCCATATACACATCTATAACTGTGTTATTAACAGTGTTTGGACAGAAACTGAAAAACGTGTTTTTTCAAAAGCATCATTCTAAAATCTGACGTGAAAAACATACAAAACATGAAAAAAGGGGAACAAAATGATGAAAAGTTGTACAAGTGGAGGAAAAACCCCAAACAAAGAAAAATAACACCTGGTGGAGTGAATCACAGCTAATGGGGTTAATGAGAAACATGAGTGGGTGTAAAAAGGGCGTTCCAGAGAGAGAAAGTCTTTCAGATGTGAAGCTGGGGAGGAGTTTACCAGACTGTGTGGATGCGTAGTTTCAAAAATGTGCTAATAATAAACAATAATACGAAGATTTTATCATGAATTTCCATATTTGTAAAGGAATCATTACTTCCTAATGATATAACATAAACCTAAGCTCCATAAGCTGCCATCCAGACAGAAGAGATGCTGCTTACTCCAGTCAGACAATCCCGCCCAGTTGGAGCATTATGAAAGTAACTGGTGAGCAGCTGAAATCGTTAAAGAATAGCAAAATATTTGGCTTTCAAATAAAGCTTACAAAGTAACCAGAGCTGAGAAATGATGCCAGTGTTGGAATAGCAGCACAAACTGCAGCTGCAGTGCCTCTAAGTGAAGGCTGCTGAAGGCTGGCTGCAACACAAGCCCATCTCCAAAGACTCCGTCTTAACATGAGCAACTTCACAGCTTTGAAAAGGACGTTTCCAACCTGATGGAAAATAATAGTTTAGTCCTCATCCACCTGGATGCTGTGGTTAGGGGCGTGGTCCGTATGCATTGACATGTCCCTGACGCTGACCACTGTGTGCTAGGCCTGCATTTTGTTTGAAGACCACCAGGTGGCGATAACAAAAACCCCTTCTAGTCCTGTAGAAGTCTTTGGGAAGTCTTGGCTTCTGTCTTGGACTCTGTAAATACTTTGCTGCTGAGTTTATGGGTTCATTCACTTTTTCCGGTCATATTGAATATTCTCCATATTATCCATGATGTGTTTGTTGGCTAACGCGTTGCCTATCACAAGTCATCAGCCAATGAGCGAGAGGTCTGACAGTCAGACCCGAGCCTCCTTGTCTCGTGTGGTTTTGGGAAACCGAGATGGGAATGGTAATGATGCTAACGGTAAAAATCAAATAATGATGTCACAGTAGCTAGTCTGTGGTTCAAACCAGTCGGTGTCTGTGCTTTTATCATCAGTTGGCCTGTTCAAAGAAGAAATGCTGCAGCGCAGTGGTGAACACGCCCCTCTCCTAAACCTTTTCCTGAGATGTCGCGGTACATGTCCACTTATCCGGGAAAGGAAATTCCAGACAGCTGATTCAGTTTATCTAGCCTCAGTGTTTTCATTGGGAGAAACCTGTATTACTCATCCGTGGACGTCTTTGTCTCCGCTGACTGCACGCCCACACAGTCCACATGGTGAACAGGGAGGAATGCTGGTTTGAGCGAGGAGTCAACCGAACCGAGGAGGGGGTCTAAGAGTAAATCTATACTATCTCACAATGCTGTGATTGCAGTCACCCCCAGGTCTCTGTGAATAGTAATCATAGCCATTAGTGGTTATGGCAGTTTGTGTGTCAACGCTTGTTACACGGCCGGGAAAACCTGCAGTCAGCTGAGACCGAAGAGCTCACCTGGATGATGAAAGGTTCCTCCTGCTGAAGTCGTTGCCTCCAGATGAACTGAATCAGTGTTGGGTTTTTTGAAGTACTGAATTAATGATTCTGTTCTGAGCTGAACTTGGTTTCATTAATTGCACTAAATGATTCTGACGTGCACTAAAAACTACATTAACACCCAAAACCACACTTCACTCAGCACGTGTGTGCTGTAGTGTGTTTCATGCTTCATTGATTCCTTTACCTGCTGCAGTTTAAAAAATTTCAGCAGAGAAAAAAACATTAAAAAATAGTTTAATTAACTTAAAAAAAAACAAATTAATGAGAAAAAATATTAAATGTTATATCTCAGTGCTTTTGTTTCCTTTGCTGTTCAGAATTAAAACAACTCCATATTTATTCCTGCACATTACCAAAGGGAAGACGGATGGCTTTGTCAGGTTCATACAGATGAAGACACGTAAAGTGCACACGCAGACACAGAATGCATTAATACTAATTTATCATACCGGCTGTGGTAGCATTTTCAGGGAACACTTAGCCTGATTGGTCATTCAATAATTAGTAATATCACTAATAGTTTGCTCTTTTTATCCGCTTTTAGCAATTATTAGATTGGACCATGAACGCTAAACGCTTGCAGGCCATTTGTTAAAAGCATAGTTATTCAAGGATTATCCATCAGTGATTCAAAATGGAAAATCTGCTTCTTTATTCTACACGTTTTGCAGAACCATTAATGCTCCAAGTATTGATTAAGCTGTCCAATTCTGACAGACTAATATATTCATTTTTCCCTGCAGTAGGCCTCAACATATTTCAAATAAATCTTTGTCATTGAATAAATATATCTTTCATTTCTTATCAAGCTTTAGATCTTTCAATCATTATTTTTAATAAACTTTTACTTTGCGTCCAATTAAACTGTCCGTCTTTGTGGGAATGTCTCACATTTTCTTATAATTATTAATTCCTCTGTGGGCTGTGATTTACTGACACTGCTGAATTTGCAGCTTTGTTAATACTTCTAACCTCTAAAAACTAAATGAACTTTTATTGTTAATGTTTCAAAAAAACCTGATTGTCATCATGAAAGTGAGCTAATTCCTTCAAATAAGAGCAGCGACTCCAGTTTCCAAACTGCAAGAGGTTCAGTGTCTGTAAGTAGAAGAAGTGTTCAGAGGAACGCGCTGGTGTCAGTGTGAATAATGAGAAACATTTATTCGTTCAGATTCATTTACTTGTTTTAAATTAGCCTCTGATAAGTAACATACATTGGTGGCCTTTTGTAATTAATATGTTGCTCTTCCAAAGAGACACAGAGTGAGAGAGGCTGTTACTACACACATTTATTAAATGAGACATACAATTAAGCACCAGAGGCTTTGCAGTTAATATACGAGTGACTGTTATGACAGGAGGTTACTATAATTAATGTTACCTGTCATCCTGTTTCTAATTAAGCTCACGTGACGGCATCGACAGCCAGGCCAGACTAATTGATTTGCGAGCCGCCAAACCGCAAACATATGTTTGCTATCTGTCATTCTGCGGCGAACGTGACCTTGCCTTCCTCGTCTTGTCGCGTCACCCGTCGTCTCTGACTTTACGTGTATTTCGTGACTCGCCCCGACTTTCCTCTTCCTTGCTCTTCCTCTCCCTGGTCTCATTTGTCTTCCTCTCAGCCTCTCTTCGTTCCATCTATTCCTCTCTCTGTCTCTGACAGGTGGAGTAGGTCATGTGGCAGTATTGGGGGGACTGAGGTCAGAGGTTAAAGGTCATATGAGTCCATTAGTGTCTACTACTAGCGGAGAGACTTATTGACCTGCGTGTGTTTGTCTCCATATGCTCAGACAAGCATGCTCTCCAAGGTCTGATGTCCCCCTGTGATATTCACCAATATTCATATGTGAGTTTGGGTCATTCTTACAAATAATAATAAAAATTTCATATAAAAATAAATCTTCAGTTCTTTGCAAGTGTAGTTTGAGTAGTTTTAGAAGTCTAAATTCTAAAAACATATTAAAATAATGAACGTAAAGTCTGTCACTAAAGACTGACTGATAATATATCCAAATGTCCAAAAGTATTACGCTTCACAAAAAATGGGATTTTGTGGATTATGAATTATGAAGTTTAAACATCTACTCTGAGGAGAAATCGACCAGTTACATTGTTTAGTTGATCCTGTTCCTGCGAGAGCTCCTTTCCACCAGCACTGACCCGAAGCCCAGCCAGGTCTGCCGAGGTGCGTTTCCCAGTCTGATGGTGAGACAGCTCTACAGGCAGAAGCAGTCGGGTCAGTCCTGTTGGCTGACAGACCTGTGGCTTTATGCAAACTTTACACTATGGTATAATAAATGTGATTCACACTTGCGTTTACCTTCTTCTAACAGGATCGGCTTCATATATGAATTGTTATTTGTTCACTTCACTCATTTCTTTATTCTAAACTCTGAATTTTAGACAGTTTAAATCAAAATACATAAACTTCCTTGGCTTAGTCACTCATTACACTTTTATTTAAACCGTAATTACTTAATTTGTCCACATGTCTACAGTATACATGCTGTGTGTCTGTTCTCTGCAGGCAGCTGGTCCCACTGTGGAGAGGCCAGCAGGGGTGGAGCGGCCAGCCAAACACCCCTTCAGTGGAAGGTCAGTGTGTATTTGTGTGTGTGTGACTGACTTCTGAACTAATTGCTCACCTTGGTAAACATGTAAAATATATTTTAAAGAAGTGTGGTCATGAAGCTGGTTGGAGCAGAGATGGAATAATGACTCGCAGAGAGCAGCAAAGATGGTGGTGGAGCGACTGGAGGCTGCTGTTGTTTTGATTTGGTGCTTTGTAAATAAAGTTGAATTGAACTGAAAAAAGAAGAAAAAGCCTGTTAATGCCCAGGTGTGTCTCTGGATGGCTGCCGGGTGCTGAGGCTGTGGTTGAGGATAGTTCTTGTTTGTGTGCATGTTTGTCTACATTTGTGTTTACTTCTGTTTATGTGTGTACTTCTGCCCTACTTTCCCTTCATTAAAGCTGTATTCTAATCCAGATCAAGGCCTTCGCAGATGCAGTGCAAAAAGCTCCATCATTAGCTCACTACAAAAGATTGCCAAAACAGGGTCAGGGTCACAAACAGAAACGCAGAAACACACTCAGTGAACGCACACGGCCACGCAGAGACCGCCACACTCACATGGGCTGAAAATAAACAGCTACAAACACGCTTGCATCTTTTTTTTTTTACTTTCACAGGCAGACACACATGCAAACACTAATGAGTGCAGTAATTAAGTGTTCAGGGTGTGCAGTGCCCTGTGCCTCCTTTGGGCCTTTAGGCATGTGTGCACATGTGCTTGTTTTGGTAGTGAGGAGGGCAGGCTGCCACATTATAACACAGGGAGAAACAGTCCACAGCATATGCAGTAATCTGTAAAGTACTGCAAATCTGTGCAGGAGTACTGACGGTGAGGCTTTAGCCAGGTGTGTTTCTGTGGTCAAGCCCTGCATTAAGCTCCTCCCTCTACAGAAGCCTGTACTGTGAGGTGGTTTACATTTACACCGGAGCAGATTAGCACGATACCGTACGCTGCACTCTCGGCTTGCTCTGGGGCAGGTTACCTTACACCCATCAGTCGGGAGTGACCAATCGATTTTCTGGAAGACGGTGTCAGATTCCCAGAAAACTTTTAGGGAGCTTGTGAAGGTTCATCTGTCCCTGACGAACACCAGTAAGAAATGCAGATTCTAAGCTGCAGCTTTCTACATTGTTTTCTCTCTTTTGGCTGAATACAATTTAAAAGCAATTTCATTGTTCCATAAGCTTTAACACAGAAATATCCTGAGAACAGGCTACCTGAGCCTCGTCCTCGTTGACCTTATATCAAATTTGCAAGTAAGCCTCCTTCCCAGTTTGAATTATGTTGTATATTTGCGCTCAGGCTGTTCTACACCACTGGGATTGCAGCTAAGAGAATATGGCAGTGAGTGTCTTTATGAAAAACTGGAGCCACCGCTCATTTATTCATATTTCAGTAGGAAAATGGGAAATGGATGCTGCAATTTATTGAAACGTGCAAACATAAATAGTTTAAGGATTGTAAGAAAAGCCAGAGTTGGTACAATTCTAACAAAGTTGTAAGTCGGTAAATGGTGTGAAGCCTCTGAGGCAACCTGTCGTCTGATTTTACTGCTTCAATAATGTTGAGCTCCGAGCTCTGGGAGGCCTGATCCGTGATAACGTGTTTCTATTCAGGAATGCTTTTACTGCATGTTTCAGCATGTTTGGGATCGTGCTGAAAAATAACATCATTGCCACCCTTTGGTGCCATTTTAGCCGCTTAGTCAAAGGAAAAGTTCTAAAATGAAAAGATTCACGACAAAAATGAAGATTCTGTGTGGAACTGTAGCACCAGCCTGTTTCTCTGTTAAAGTTCCTGTTTCATAACAATGTCGTCCTCTGATTAAAATCTCACAGGTAAACAACTTTATCTAGTTTTCTAACTTCCTGTGAATTGGCAGCTGAGGCTGAGAGATGAAGGACGTTTAAAGAAAGCCCAACATTGTTGTGGTTGATGATTCATCCCTCTAATACTGATAGTGATACTTACATTTTGCCACAGCTCGCTGTTTCTTCACGTATTTTTTGTGTGATTTATTTAGTGACGATCACAGATACGAGAAATTCAGAGCTTTCTGTCGCAGCGCAGACTTCTTGTGGGCTGACGAGGCGTTCACTGCCACAACTATTCCAGAACAATCCTGCATGGCGTTGTTGAAAAGATTGCTTTGCCTAACAAAGTCCCACAGTAACTGCCTGATAATCGTGCCGTTACCTGAAAGAACTGTTTCACTCTCCTCGGCTTGTCCATCAGTTGCCGTGGCACGAATGAAAACGAGTAACTGTACGCTTCGTTTCCTCGTTCTCTCGATTCGATCCGAACGTCTCAGACGGATTCAAACGCGTCTTTCTGTTAACGCTCGTGAAAGTGCCCACACACCCAAACAGACTGACTAATATAAAAACCAAGACAGTGAATGAGTCAGCGGCTGTTACAAAGCGATCCGTGTGCAGCGCTGACCTCCGCTAATGTAAAGTTTATTACCGAGTGCAGTTAACACTCAGTTAGGACAACATGTAGTTAACCTGTAAAGGAGAATTATGAATGTGTTGTAAGAATAATGTGCCACCTTAGCCTCTGCTTTTAAGGCTGTGCAACCACGGAGCACACGCAGGAATTAGATCACACACATGTAGACGACACGGAAGCAACCTCCGTGACAGATGTGGGCAGTACCTGCTCTTTTTTCCCGGCCTTTCTATGGCGTCCTCATTAAATCATGACTTACTATAACGCACAACTTTGCCTCCTGAATTAATGGACAGGCAAACTAAATGGGAACAACCTGAGTCTGATTACCTCTTGTGACACTTTGCCGTTCAGCGCAGTAAATATAACAGTTAATATTTAAGACACCCGCTGAGATTTGTTTTATTTTCTCTGTAACGTTTTTTTCTCACACCAACCATCTCATCTGTGAGTAATGTAGACGTGATGTAATGGTTTCCGTGGTCGCTGGGGAAACGATCCTTGAAATTGCAAAAAAGTCCAAAATGAGAGGAGCGCAGCCATAAATACTGGAGCAGAGAGGCATTCGTTAGAGGAACACGTGCGTCCGTGTGACAGAGTATGAGTTTTGTGCGCCGTGTGTGTTTTTGTGCGTGTTGTCGTCCTCCCGGAGTGTGTTTGCGTGCGAGCATTCGTGCACCTTTAAATGTGAAGCTACACCTATAAATACGGTTATGGCTCATCATACTTTTTACCGCGCTGCGTGCACACCAGAAAACTCATTACGTTTGAATCAAAATGTCCTTTTTATACAGGGAAACAGATTTACTGTAAATTGGTTTATTGAAATAGCATTTCAGCTATATTATGTTTCTTTGTGAATAAGGCAGGCAGAGTATCGGAGGTGTTTTAGAAGCTATACGAGCTGAAGAGGTAAGTAGGCTTCACCGAGTGCAGAAAACAAACTGGAAGTAAGAGGTTTAGCCTTGCTTTACCAGCGTATGAATATGTATTTGGGGACTGAACACTTCCATTCGTTGACAGTGAATTTTACTCTGCTGGTGTTTTGATACTAATCTGCTTATTTAGTCTCTGCCTGCAGTTCAGGGGAGAAAAGTTTGAACCGAGATTGCGGCGTTGATTATTCTTATTACCGAGGGTCCTTTTATGACGCGCTGTTGAAAATGGAAATGGTGCAGGGATAAAGGACTGGATATAAAGCCATCGTGTCTACATTTAAGTATCAGTTACGTCACATTTCTTTTAGGATATTGGGATTCCTGACTGTAAGAAACCTGTTATGTTGTGAACTGAGAAAAGAAGGACAAGCTTCATATAACTGGGGGTTAAATTACACCCTCACCCTGTCGCCCAGGTGTCATGTAGGCTGCAGGGAGTTACTTTGTAATGTTGGCTGTAAAATTACAAAATCTTTCTCATCCTTTAGGAACTATTTCAGTTTTCTTTGTAGCCCAAAATGGTCGAGGAGTTAATGTGAAGCGCACATGGGAACATCTTTGTCTGTGTTCATAGTACGCTATGAATGCTTTATGCTGCCATACACCAAATATCCTGCTACAGTGCTTATAAAGCTTATCTACTGCAAAAGCATTCAAATTACATAAAATAGTGCCGACTGATGATTTCAGTACAACTTAAGAGTTACCGGTTCTGTCAGTAGTTAGCGAACACAAAGTAATGTATTTGAAAGCATTCCTGAATCATCTGAAAAACTGAGGAAAACACTTGGAGTGATGAAAGTAACGTCCAGATGAACAGACGTAGCTTTCTGGGATAAACTAATGTACGACTTATTAGCTGTAAGTGGTGTCGTCATCCTCTGTACTCAGACACGATGGCACCAAACAGGCACTAAAAAACTCTTAAATCTAACTTCACAGGCAGTTTTAAAGCTGCGATGCTTTTTAGAGTAGACCCATGGTCTAAATTAGGGCGAACACATGCAGCGTTTCACCTTTCAGCTCTTTTGCAACCCCGGCTATCGCCATCTGGTGGAACTCGCAGAGAATGCAGCTTTAAGAACAGAAAAAATAAGAAACTTGGATTTTACGAGCTACAATGACCTTTGAAAGATGTTTGCTCAAATCAAACCAAAGTTAATCAAATGAAAACTACATTTAAAATGTAGTACTACTATTTACTATTGCTACTGTCAGGGCCGGAGTGGCTGTACTGCAAAGATTGTCTCCAATCCTGAAACTGCAACATCTGGGCACAAGTCTTTGCTCCCTCTAGACGAGCCCTGAATAATGTGGTTTTGATGTAACGATGCCAGGAAAGAGTAAATGTGTCTCCATAGGTTTATAAATGCGTTTAATATGATTCACAGGCACAAACCCAGATTTATAAATAATGTAAATGTGTGTATATTCTGTTTTTCAGCCCACCCACAAATACAGAGAAACATGTAAAACTATAATAATTAAAGTTAAAATTTATAATCTACAGACAATATTCTGAATTTCCGCTTCACAGACTTGTTCACTTTTGAAAAGCTTCCCGTGCACGTGTCTGAAAATATTTGAGACGTTCGTTCGGCTCACTTACAGTTTGCGTGCGCAAAGTTTCCTCGACATGCACAGATCGCATCGTGTGTGCATGTGACGTTTTGAGAGTCTTCCTGAATCCGTGCTCGTGCAGATAAACAGGCTGGATTCAACTGCTAGAGGAAAACTGGGACATCTCAGCTTCCTGTGGAGTCCCCATTCCTCAAAGACAACAGGCGCTTTTTTCCTAGATAAACAGAAAAGCTCATCACGCCTCGACTAGAAGACTCACGCTTACCAGTTACAGATGCCTGGATGTAGTTGTCCCACGTCACGTACAATATATCTACATTCAGAGATTAATCAGCATAATATTAGTGTTCGTCTGTCTGCTGTTTCCCCAGCAGAAGAGCATCCAGCATGTAGCAGCGGCTTATTTAAACCATATATGAACTTTCATAGGCGTTTTACACGTGTGTGCACAGGAAGCTCTTTGAAAATGAAATGATCACATTTGTGAAGTTTGTGTAAAAATGACCAGTATTTTTTCCACACCACACTGCTCTGTGAGCAGCTGACATAACCGGGATTTGGGGCTGCTTTGCTTCCTCTGAGCCTGGACTCGTGTTTATGAAACAGCAGTGAGTTCAAAATTGTATCTTTCTGTTTTTGCGAGAAAACGCCAGGGCAGCGGTTCATGACCTGAAGCGTAGACATCCGTGTTTTAGATGAGATCCTTCAGTGTGACCTTTTAAAACAAACCAGGAATAACGATGAAGTTTTTAAGAAGGAGACGTCCTCCTCATCGATAGACCCAGAAAAAGTCTGATAAAGGTTGATTCCCTTCATACTCCTGCACCAGTTGTAGGGTTTTCCTCCCAAAGGTAACGTGTCTGTGTAGGTAATCCAGGTGACACATCTTCAGCAAACTTGTGCCGTCGCTTTGCTTTCCAAGCACCTTCGATCTGATCGAGGTTGTTACTGTGACAAACTCATGTTTATTGCACTTTGCTCTTATGCATTAAATACTATCTCTGCTACTTTTGTTTGTGAAGGCTCTCATTTATTTTATACTTTGAGTTCTTGTGTATTTCCTCACACTTATCTGTAGTATTTTTGTGTATTTTCACTGCCTTGCATTTACTCTGGCGCTCTGCGCTTGAAAGACTGGCTTTGAGGGGGAAAAGGAGGGAGAGAGAGAGCAGGATAAATAAGAAGAGGGATGAGACGAGAGGGAGGAATGCATAGAGAGGAAGAGAGCGCTTTGGTAATGCACATCCTCCGTTTTTGTTATTTCTCCTCTGTGTCTGTCTTTCATAGCGAGGATCAGTGAAGTGGCAGGTGGATAAAGGGAACACCTGCTCTCTTCATCTCTCTTTCGCTCCCCTCTCTTTGCTTTTTGCCTCTTTTTTTTTCTGTCTCTTGTTCTCTCGTCGCGCTCCCTCTCTCCTTTCTCGAGTCTCACCCATTTTGTCTCTCCCTTTCACCCCGACTTCATTTTTTGCATTGATGCAGCCTGTCAAACATCTCACAGAAGAAAAAACGAGAAAGGAAATGCAAATGGATCTGAAGTGTTTGTGTGCGTCGGTGTGTTTGTGTGTGCGTGCCTGTGTTGTAGTTAGTGTTAGAGATCAGAAGCGCAGCAGCAGGAAGGATAGAGGGAGGGGTGGATGTTATTTTCCCTCTTGTATTAATTCTTTTCATTAGCCCTGTCTGATTAATTCAGTGCCTCCTCCCGCCTTCATCTCACTGTATTTTACTTCTAGACCTTGGTTGCTCGCTACTTTCTTTTCTCCTTTGTCCCTGTTTTTCTCCTGTTATACATCAGTGTTACTTTTCCTTCCTCTTCCTCTTCCTTTCTCCTTTCATGCCGTGGTATCTGTCGCTTTCTGTGACCAAGGCTGAAAAATCTCAGTAAGTGTTTGTTTTAAATAAAGTTAAGTTTATTATTGTGATCACTAATGCAGGAAAACATCTCAACTTTACATTGTCATTCATAACACCAACGCAAATCTACTCAGCCAATCACATGACAGCAACTCAGGGCATTCAGGCATGCAGACATGGTTAAATCAAAAAACTACTCTGAGCCTCTCTGAGCACACAAAACCTCAGAGCAGTTTTTCCAGCACCTCGTTAAATCTGTGCCACGATGATCAAACCGGCTGACGCGTGTAACGCAGTTCAAAGTGTACCTAATGAAGTGGCAGGGGCACGTATGCTGATGAACTGTCCTCTAATGCTCAAAATTTCAGTCATCATAATGACATATACTCCTGCACCGTTCCCCATACTAAGTCTAACACCCTCCTGGGTGAAGGCCGTCAGTGGGGTCCTCCAACGTCCTTGGTCCTGGCTTTACTCTCATGATCTCAGTTTTATCTTTGTGGATGTTCAGTCGTACAGCTGCTTGTGCGCTTGTCTTCTCTTGCGTTTGCTGGTGGTTGCAAGATAGTAACGACAAATCTTCAAAAATAATAGTAAAAAAAACTGCGAAATCCAGGTGTTCCAGCTGTGTCCACTTCACTCCACTTCTTCTTCCTTCTGTGATTTTCTTCTTTAACCCGTCAATCACTCACAGGATTGGGAATGGTGATAGCAGGCATGCTTGTCTGGATCTTAAACTCATTAGGAAGTTAACCGACTTCATTGGTACTACAAGGTTCCCTGTGCACACCATCCAAAGCCTTTTCATAATCCACAAAGTTGACTTATGCTCGAGTTCAGCTCAGTTGACTGTTCAAGGATGATGCGCAGGGTGGCAGTCGGGTCAAGACAGGATCTGTTTCTTCTAACTGTACATGAAGTAATCTTTACTGTAAGCTTGAAAAGGCACACTCCATTAATGCTGACTGCATTTATTTCAGGATCCAGAGATGTGACTGGTTTAGATGGGATATGTTATCCTTCCAGTTGATTCCATGGGCCTGTCTCATTTGGATCAGCCACAAAAATGTCCAGGAGTCACCCTAATCACATGTAATCATATGTCATTATACGGTCATACGACCGGTCATACCAGAGCTTATGACCATGTCATGACCTCAGGTATGACCAGTCGCGGTCTGGGACAGCAGCTGTGGTAGCACCAACCCCATCACTTTACATTTCCTTATTAACATACAACACAATGGTGTGCTTCAACAACACACGGAGAAATGGTATGTGTGTAATGACCGTTTCCAGTGTGATCCAGTCAGTTTTCCGGTTACACACTGAGAGCATGCTCTAAACCTTTAAACACCACTCTGTGTCCTTGCCTCTGTCTTTCTTCCCCAGTCTCACTTCCTGTTGTCTGGATTAAACTCAAATCTGCTGAGTAGCGACGAGGCAGCATTAGCTTTCTGTGTGTGTGTGTGTGTGTGTGTGTGTGTGTGTGTGTGTGTGTCTGAGACAAGGAGAGAGGGAGAACTTGTTTCTACACTTTGCATCTTTCCCTGTTGCCATCCAGCATCATCAGTAACCCTCTCTGGAGTTTATTAGCATCTGTGCTGCTATCAGTTGATGGGGGGGTGGGGGGTTTACGAATGGATGGATGGTCTAGAGAGAGAGGGAGACAAAATGAACAGATAGTCAGAGACGGAGAGGGGAGGGCAGAACAAAAGCACAAAACCAAGTTCAGACAAACTGGCTTCTAAAAACACGCACACATGCACGCATGGAGCAGAGAGAAGGTCAGGAGAGGATTAATGGCTGTGCGCTGATAGATAAACTAATCAAACAAACAAAGACTTCAGCACACACATGCATTAAAACACAGGCAGAATGTAAAGCAGATACATACTTGAATAATCGAAGCTAGACAGAGACACTGAGAGACTGAAAGCAAGTCAGAAATCCTCAGAGAAGGATGCCACATAAAAGTTGTGACAGGCGTGCGCACACAGCAGCAATCTGCACTTTTATTGACTTTGATTAGAGTGTTGGCATCGCCTCCTCTGCGGCCTGGGTTTGCAGACATGGATTAAGTCCTCGACAAAAAGTATTTTTAGCTCAGTGAACGGATCCATGGAAAATGACGTTTCAATCTTGGATAGCGCTTCTCCAAACTTTTCCTCCCCAGACCGGCACAGGTTTTTGTTCTGGTGGTACCACATGTGTGTGAGGGCTGCCCTGCTGTTTTCTCTCGGTCTGCACATTTAACATTTAATCCTTTTATTTTGTGTCATGCCTGATGATTAACCTTGGATACTTTTTAAGGCACATCTAAGCTTTTTATCTTGATTTCTGTTCTCTCAGGACTTTCCTGATTCTCTCGTCTCGTGCAACAACTGAAGTAGTTCAGTTGTTCCCGTCGCTGTTCTACGTCAAAGCTACCCTTCCTTTCAGAGTAACTGAACTTGTATTATTTTGTTTTCTTCCTCTCTGTATGTGTGTGTTCACTGTGTGTGCACAGCCTGACCAGAATGGTGGAGATCCTAGGAGAGGACAGCCCTCTGGGAATCCACGTGGTTCCCTACTGCTCGTCGCTCAGCGGACGGTGAGTTGTGCTCACAACACACATCCTTCTAGTTAAACCCTAATTCTCTACTTTAACCCCCAGAGACACTGTCAGATTACCATAGAAAGCATATACTAAAGTCATCCCGTCATAATCCTGTTATTTGCTGCGCTGCACTACATAAACACCCAGAGATGCTCCCACAGTGGGGAAAAGAAGAAAAGGAAGACATGAGTGCACAGCTATGCAGGGCTCTACTTTGGGTGTGGGACAGTCGGGCAGTGGATGGGGATTTCCTCACGGAGAGCAGGATAACTTTTTATGACTGTTCTCATGACTCACCTGACCTCACCAGTCTCCTGCTTGAATTCCTCGTTCTCTGTTTTTCCCCATCATGCGCTCCACGGTGTTTTTTTCCTTTCTCACACACTCATCTCTTTGTTACCTTTTAACCTAGTTTCAGCATTTTTCATCATCAAACGCTGTATTTTGTTCAAGTTAAGGACCCGGAGTACTGAACTGTTGCCATTTTCTTACATATTACCATTTCACTCTCAGTTTGTAAGTTTGAAGGTGTTTATATCGTCTAATACAGATAACGTTAAGATGTCCTGACATTGTTACTACTGTGTTTAAAGTCATTCAAGGAGCCGAGGTAAGCAGGCAGTCTTTGCAGCAGCGATTAAATAAACAACATGCAGTGCTGCTCTCTTCGAGTCGTAATGCACCGCGATGCACAGAATCAGGCGGATATAGAAGCATGCATTTAAACTACATCATCACAGTCAAGCGCAGACGAAATCATGATTGTACGCTGATCTTATGACTTGTTTGTGAGAAACAGGATTTGTTTCTGTACAAAACTCCAGTTGTTATCGTTGCTGTGCTTCACTGATGTGCTGCGTTATAGCCAAACATCTCCTCTTCGGCCTGATCTCGAGTCTTTGCAACTTTGCAAACCTAAACCATGCTGGCGTGTTGCGTGCTTTCTCCTGGCGACCCTTCTAAACGCCACACTTGTCTTTTCCTAATTATGCTGTGATGAACTTTCGTGTTTAACATGCTAACTGAGGCCTGTCGAGTCTGAGATGGAGCTGTTGGGTGTTTTGCGATGTCTCTGAGAACAGCACAGTCTGACCTCGGGGTGGATTTTCAGGGATGCTCAGCCCTCTGAACGTTAGCATCTGTCTTGAATATCTACCACTTCTCACTGCAGAATGATGAATAATCAAATTATTTGGAAATGACATTATAACCCTTGTCAGACTCGTGGGCAGCAGCAGCTGCATCTATAAACTCATTGCTTACATCTTTCCTCCCTGGCATCGTGTTGGCACGTGCTTCAAAGCTCCAGACCAGCAAACTTCTGGTTTTATAGAGGTGCTCACACTTGCTGATGATCAGTTACCCTCTTCATTCCTTTGGAAGTAGTCAGGGTGTTTTCACAGGACCACAGGGAGTCTTGTGAAAACTTTCTTTTTCACAGGACTGTAAGTTATAGTAGAAACCCACAGCGGAGCTTGGAGATAAAATGACCATAACTGTGGTAAAGTAAACCATATGGAGACTCGTCTGTGTGCATGCAAGAAGTTCTGTGCGTTTGTGAACCTGTGCATGGAAAACGTGCTTTAATCTCTCGCTCTGTTCTTGCATGTTCTCCGTCAGGGCTCTTGGTCTGTATATCCGTGGAGTGGAGGAAGAGAGCCGCTCCAGAAAGGACGGCCTGTTTCAGGAAGACGAGTGCATCGTGAAAATCAACGACACCGATCTCATGGACAAGACCTTCAGCCAGTGAGTACAGCTCTATTAGAATAAATGCACGGCCGTAGAATAAAATAAACACAGCGTATCGTGTTACAGTTAATGTCCACGTTGTGTACGGACCAAGAAAGAACTGCTTGACGTTTAGGAGCTGCTGTTTCTTCTGTGAGTTTTGGTTAATGGAGCAATATAATCGCATTTAACTTTAAAAGTAGGTTTGGATACATTAAAATTACATTAATTTGTGGTATTGTTACCAAGTTAGTGAAAAAACTAAACTAAAGTATAAACCTGTCTTTCCCTGCTGTCTCACCTTCTGTGAGGTAGCACTGCAAATCCAAAGAAATGCAGAAAAACACTTGGCAGATGTTTAGCTGCTTCTGGATTAATCTGTGTGTGTGTGTGTGTGTGTGTGTGTGTGTGTGTGTGTGTGTGTGTGTGTGTGTGTGTGTGTGTGTGTGTGTGTGTGTGTGTGTTGGAGCTGGCCTCTGCGTGGCTGTTCCACGTCATTCCTTAAAGCAAAGATTTGTTCAACATTGGAGATCAAATGTTGGAGTTTGCTCACGGTGCCCCTGAAGCCTGAACAGGGCTACATAAACACGAGTGTTTAGAGATGTAATGTGATTACAGAGCATTAAAATGATAAAAGACACCCGTAAAAACAATTGCCACAGATTACAGGCACAGATGCGGATATTATATTGATTGCACCACATTACACTGTGTATTCAGTCCACACAACAGTTCCTGTCCAGTGTTCACTGTGGTAATGAGATTACGCGTGAGGTATTTTATGCTGTACTGTAGGTAAATGGATTATCACCGCTGAGGTTTGTACCTATTGTTCAAAGACAGGTGTGTAGCCCCCTGTGCACTCGCCGACACACAAACACACACACGGACAGTTTTTCTCCTGTATTACACCCTTAATCTTACATGTGATATATCGTCAGTCTGTTTCTCAGCATTAACAAAGTTGAATGGACTGTATTACACACACACACACACACACACACACACACACACACACACACAGAACACTTTTATTAAAATCAATGCAGTGCATTGCTAAACTACTCCCAGGAGAAAGTAATTTGTTATA